TTCTTTCTTTCTTTCTTTCTTTCTTTCTTTCTTTCTTTCTTTCTTTCTTTCTTTCTTTCTTTCTTTCTTTCTTTCTTTCTTTCTTTCTTTTGCTGTACCCCCTCCCACCCCATTTTTGGCCTAGCAGGCCTCAGGGAAGCCTCCTGGGAGCAAAAATGGACCCCATATTCTAAAAAAAATAAAGTTCCTACCATTGCGCAGCACAGCTGATCGTCGAAACTTTTTTTTTTTACTTTGTTAAGTGTTTTTTTTTATTACTGGTTTGGGCGAACTGCCCACACCGGTAGCATCTCACCCCCTGGGGCTGTCCCACCTCCCTTCCCCTGGGAAAAGGCCCATGGTGAAGTGCAAATGGTTTGCCAGATTCCTTCCACTCACGCTATCCTTGATGATCAGAGTGCCATGCAACAGCTTCGGCTTCTTGGAGGCCGGCGAGGGGCCTAGAGAGAGAGGGAGGAAAAGCCGAGGAGTCTTTGGGGGCCCTGGATTTCCAGGGCCTGCTCCCCAAATTCCTTCCCCCTTGGAGACTGTAATGCATGGTGGCTGTTGAGGGCAGTGCCATCTCCCAACGCTCATTCCCTGCAAGGTCTCTTTTCCAATATATTCCAAAGTCCTGGGCAATTTCACCCAGTGGCCACAAGCCTCCATCTTCACCGCCCACCCTGGGGAGGGAGTGCTAATCCCACAAGTTTCAACGTTGAAACTCTTAACATGCTGCTCAGGTTTCAGTCAAACTGCCTGTTTTCAATAAAGGAGAATATTTTGTAGCTCGGGGTTAAAATGACGAGTTCTTGGTGCTCTCTCTGAGCTTGTCTGTTTTCTTGCAGGCGTCTCATTACCCAACTAGGCAACATCATCAGTGAGGACTTCCCAAACTGCCTGCTATAAGAACAGCGGTCAAGAGTTCTATACCGCTTCACAGGGCTTTCCCGGGCCTCTCTAAGCAGTTGACGGTGTCTTGCTCCCAACAATCCAGGTCCTCATTTTACCGACCTGGTGAGATTTGAACTGCTGGCAGTAGGCAGAGGAATGCAATACTGCATTCTAACTAGAAGGTAGGTAGGTAGGTAAGGAAGGAAGGATGGAAACGAAGGAAGGAAGGAAGAAAAGGATGGAAGGATGGAAAGAAAGGACAAGGATGAAAGGAAGGAAGGGTGAAAAGGAAGGGAAGGATGGAAATGAAGGAAGGGAAGGAAGGAAAGGACGGAAGGATGGAAAGGAAGGAAGGATAGGAAGGGAAGGAAGGAAAGGACGGAAGGGTGGAAAGGAAGGAAGGATGGAAATGAAGGAAGGGAAGGAAGGAAAGGACGGAAGGGTGGAAAGGAAGGAAGGATGGGAAGGAAGGATGGAAAAGAAGGGAGGGAAGGAAGGATGGAAAGGAAGGAAGGAAGGAAGGAAGGAAAGGAAGGAAGGATGGAAAGGAAGGCAGGGAAGGAATGAAGAGAAGGATGGAAAGGAAGGAAGGATAAAAAGGAAGGGAAGGATGGAAAGGAAGGAAGGATGGAAAGGAAGGGAGGGAAGGAATGAAGAGAAGGATGGAAAGGAGGGATGGAA